TTCCTGCTTCGAATTCGGGAGGTCCTGAGTTCCAATTTAGGTCCGGAGACCGACTATCCTAATTGAGGGTGTACTTGGGTTTCCTCGCTAACTCCAGGCATATGTCGGGATAGTAAGTTACCATACATTAGGTCACGACCGCTTCCTTCCATATCCTGTATAATTCGTTATTCATTAATCATCATATCTTTTGACGCTGTATAATTTTCGCTACTAGCAGCGTCGTTTCATACAACACAAGTAAATAAACAGAGTGACCATGTAGCTTCAATTGTGAAGTTATGCATAGAGAAATTTCGTGGGGATATTTTATAGAAACATACCGAGAAAGAGATGAGTAGTTTTAAGTGGACGGCCAAAAACTGTAAGGAAACAGTGAGAGAAATAATTTGTGGCGGTGTGGATGGTAACAGTTCTGGTAACACAGATTGAAAAGATAACATTAAAACGGATCTTAGAAAATTCGGTTGTGAGGATGAAGCTGGCTTAGGACAGTGTGAGCTGTGGTATTATGGGTGTTGAAGCTTGGATTTCTTGGCCTACATCCAGACACTTAGTTGTTACATTCTCCTCGCATACGTAAAAATATATTTATGTATAAATTTTCTTTAATATTCATTTATATGTGACAGCGAATGACTTACTGTACATGGCATGCTGCTACACAATATGTGTTCTTGTCCGTGTAATGTAGAAATAATAATTTGAATACCTGCATTCATTTCAATTTCACAGCAGCTGTAGCACGTCCAACGAAAGTTATAATTTGTAGCTTTAGTTTACATTTCATTATGCAGCAAATAACATAGTTAGCTGGTTCAAGTAACTGACGCACACCGTTTCGTTGGCTCGTGAGCAGTAAATACAGAGTGCATGCTCGTGTTAACCATGGTAGCCCGGCTAAAATGCTCTCAGCTAGCGTAAGCCTCAAACAGCCGGCAGAACAACATAGAAATATGTGAAATTTACGGTAAGCACCTAAAGACCATAATCAAGATGACTATAATCAAGAATTTAATGACTGGCTACATTATCCGGTTATTTCAACGAAAAAGCGAACCTGCAGTTTCATTTCTTTCTAAGCTGGTATATTTATTTAAAAGCCGTATTCTTAGAATTTAATTATGTCGTGACGCAGAAACTCTAGTTCAAAAGTCAGAATAATTAGATGTATCAGAAGTCGAGGATTACCGAGCACGTTTTCTCTGCTGATCTCAAACACAGCATAAATAAAGACCAAAACGGCCAGTCTTTCTAAACAAGATATCTCTTTGTAGGATTTGAGATTTTCACGATGCTACAAACCAGAAGACAGCCATCTTAAGACACCCGTTACGTACCATGAAAAAGGTTAAAACTTAACGTGATCACATATCATGGCACTGAATTGGAACTATTTGCCTGTACCAGGAAGTAACCATGGTGATGCCAAAGTACTCACCGACCACTACGACATGGCCGAAGACGCTGCCACTTCCGATGGCGGAGCAGTTCCAGCGACGGTGCCGGAACTGTTCCTGACACTCGACAGTGCCGAGACGCACACCGTCCCCTACGGCGACCATGGCATCGGGCGAAGAGCGACACATCTCACGCTGTCGCGCCGTCAGGCCGGGAATTCGCCCGCAGATCACGTGGGCCTCCAGAGCAGCCACGACGCTGGACATCACCCTGAAAGCAACGCGAAGCCATGATCAAACTCTTCGTTCGTTATGAAACTTTGTTCAGCATCCTGGTACTTCAAAAAACTAAAGAAAATACATACACCTCGTGTTAGTTCAATAACGATTACAGAAACATCAATAACACTAACCATAAATGTTGTTGCTAACGCCATAAACACACATTTTTGTCATAGTTATAATTATGCACATTATTATATCTAGGCGTATGTAAGCCCGTACTTAAAACTGATTTGGTAAAGTTGCTGATGACAGGTATCGAAGGAGGAATGTGAGAGTGACCCATGTTATCCGCGGGTGGAAATCGCTTTAAGTTGGCCTTGATTATGATGCTCTGGACGCATTTATATCACCAACATGACTATAATTCACTTTAATTGGAAAGCCATTTTCATACATAATGACGGAATCAAACAGCCAGATGTACAGCAACTGTTATAAAAAGAGATTCGTGTTATTTTTACAAGCTACTCAGGGCGGTTCAGGAGATGAAAGAAAATGCTGCAATTCATTTACATTGGAATGTGAACCAAAGAGAAGTCGTGTGGCTGTAGAAGAAAGCGCGATACAACCTGTTCAGAACTCTGTGCTTCCACTTTAGTGAAAACCACGAGTACAGTCATCAGGAAAAATTATTTTTCTAGCGTGTTCACTCTCCGTTCCACAGTTGATTCTCATGATTTGAGGAAGAAGAGCATTAGAAGCACTCCCCACTGGCTCGATATATTTTTGGGTTCTGACAAATCAAAATTTGAACAGTAAAAAGTGTGTTCTCCGTAATTTACTAAGTGTAATTTACAACTTTACTTTCTACGATAAACAGCTCAAAACAAAGATTAAGTTTCATCGTTCGTCGAAACGGAAATCGGGGCCGATTTTATAAAATTCTACAAGTTCGTAATAAGCAGAAGGAAAGCGAAACAAAATGCAAAGCTTCATGCATAATTTGTGTCGGACTGTGTGCTTAAAACATGCCCACACACGTCCTACGTCATATTCACTCATTTGGCGTGGCTTATGCAACCACTACATCTTGGCCCGATTCCTATTATTTAATAGTTTTCTAAGAGTTTTGAGTATTCTGCCTCAAACCGTGGTTTAAACTGCCTTAACTCGTAATGACCTACACTCTCTTGGGCTGAGAGTCGGATATTCTCTACAATACGAGCAATGACACATACAAAAATAAAGAAACAGCTAAATAAGAAATTTGAAAAGAATCCCCATACATAGGTTATCACGTCTTCAGGAGACGTTGCTGTCATATTATACCGTTTAACCGAAAAGCTATTATACACCGCACACCTGCAGGTTACCAATTACTATGGGGAGACAAGGGTGGACAGAAGAAGTGAACCAACCGAGTGAGTCAACGGCGTTTCTTGGTAACCGATCGAAGTCAATCAAGCCGAGCTCTTCACAACAAACACTGGACGGGTTCCGTTAACGGGGGACAAGGATGAGGATAGTGACCCAAGGTTAGTTATGACGCTTCACATTATACACCACTCGCATGGTAATTTCAGAGTTCCGAAGGGCAATATTTATTAAAAAAGAGAATAATAATAATACAAAACTAAAGAAGCGGATAGGGATTAGAGGCATGCGAGTGGAAGATGGAAAATGTAAAAATAAAGAACGATGAAATAAATGAATAAGAAAGTAGAGATAGATGGATATAGAGACAGACGGACAGATAAAGGAACATACGTAGTTATAAATAAATAGGAAGGAGGTGAGAGAGATACTACCCAGACAGAATAAGAAATAAAAAAACAAAATGGAATTAAAGAAAAACAGATAGAATGAAGAAATAAACTTTAATTCCGGAAGTAATAAGCCTGCAGGTCCACATGTACCACGAGCTGACAGCCATCGACACAAAAAACAGAAACAGCTGACAAGGAGTAAAGAGAATTTCAGCAACAAGGGTTAAACTCGGCATAAAAATGAATCAAAACTTCGTTTGGTATTTTTAAAATTCGTTCGCGGTTGGAGAAACTGCACCAAGAAAGAAAGAAAGAAAAATAGAGAGGAACTGGAAACAGTTCGCTGTAGCTGCATCGAAACTTCAGGTGGAAGTCGCGTCGCATTCCTGGCATGCGAGGCGCTCTCCTCACAGCCTCGAATTTCAACGCATAAATTACGTTAACCGGTTGCAATCGCCACGCGGTAGGTAACTGGCGACAGTTCTCGGGGTGGATAGAGAGGCGACCGGCACAACCAGGTCCACAAGGCGTCGGACCAAAAACACACGACGATGCACAGCGAAACTCATCGTGACAATGCTAATGAAGATACAACGACAGCTAAACTTAGGATACAGAAAAGTTTCTAGCCCTTAGTCCACAGCATCTGCTTTCGCCTAATAAACTGACATCATCATCATCATCATCATCATCATCATCACACGGTAGTTGCAGTCCTCCCTTCATGTCAATCACCTTTTTCTCTTGGAACTTTTAACTCGTTACTGCCCTTCCCAAAGACTCCCTTACGCCTAGCATCAGTCAACCTAAGTTTTAGAAGGACAAACCTCAGCTAAACATTATTTAAAAATTCTGTTTATATTCAGAACACAAAGCGTATCCAATATAAATATAAAGTGATTAATTCATTTTAGGAAAATAATCGTCGATTATTCTAAGAATCACACAGAACCCGTTAATAAACCTACACTCTGCGGGCAAAATGCAAACCGCAGTGTTACTGAATATTAAAGCAGGTGGTGGACTGCATGCAGTACGCACAGTGATTTAACAGTTATTCGAGTGTTTTCTATCTCTGTGCGAGTCCGAAGAATTTTAAGAAAGTTTTGTTCTCCAAAGTGCGCTGCAAGGTGCTGACAAGGAAGGGGGACCAGTGGCTTGTCATACACAGTGGTCAGCCGACCACCTGCTGGGATTCGTAGATACAAGATAGCTCAAGCTGAAAAACACGGACAGGAAGATATCAGATTTTGTGCTGTCAGGGCCCACACAAAAATACCATGGATATCCATGGTTGGCTATACACCTCTGTGATGTGGGGAGTATCTTGGAAAACTTAACAAGAAACTGCCTGCTTTTATGGAATCCTTACTCACGAAAGAAAGTCAATGTATCATATTCTAAGCCACTTCAGTTTACTCCCTTTTTCCTTACGATTGATCTTAATATTCTGCGTGTTACGAAGATCTCTCATAAGGTGTTTCTTAATTTAGTTTACAGAACAAAACTAGGCAAATAATATAAATGTATTATGTTATGTATTATGTGTTATAACATCCACACGAGTTTATCAGTTGAGACTAAGATATTTTGAACTTAACTGCCGACATGTTTCGACAACAAACTAAATCATTCCAAATAAAACTATTTTTAGTATGCTGATGTCGGTGCACTACTTTACATTTACGACAAGCTTGGCCAGATGATATGATGTAGAAACTTTTGCCAGTTAATTTCAAAATACAGGCATCAATTGATAAACTCCTCGAGTAAAAGGTGTAACAAACAATATGGCATTGTAAAACACAACCAGAATCCTAAATTATATAAGAGGGCAACTTATGAGGCTCCTTTGCCTCCTCCCGCTGCCTCTTGGCCTGAATGTAAGAACTGGGAGAACTCCGAGACCCCTTGTGATGACATTCTGCAACACAGCGTCGAAGCCCTTAACCCGCCACCAGAATGCCCTCTCGCAACTGCCTGTTAAATACATTCGCGGCTGAAGACAGTCCAGTCTCCTCCATCTGGAACCTGAGGGCGCGCCACGCTGTGTGTGACAAAGTGCCCACTTAACATAGAAAGAGATCACAAATAGTTGTTAACCTATAATCAGACAGGTTTGACAAAGGAGCTGCAGTCTTATTCTCTTGTAAGCTTTACAACGCTCTACAGGCTTGCTAAATGAATGCGAGAAAAAACTAGCCAGGACCGGTGAAAGTACAGGCCTATGTGAGCATTACGTTTATGAATTCCATGTTTGTAACTATGACAACAGTTATATTTCACTTATTCCGTTCAAGTGGTGTAATAAGTTAGCAAAAAGTGGTAGCACCTTATAGGACAAAATTACAGGCTTCTTTCCTTTTGATCCCGTGTGCTACTGCACATTAAAATGGCAAGTCTATGAATGCTCGTTAACGTCTGTACGGATTCTGTCTTGCGACTCGAGAATCGTGCTGTAAAACACAACAGCGTATTTGACACAAGAGGGAGTAATAAACAGAAAAAATGTTCTCAGGGCCTTTGAACTGAAGCAATTTAGGAGATCAACACTGAAACCGAAAAATACATTAACACAGATTATCGAGAAGTCGAAAGAAACAAGTACAACGGCTCGATCTCTCTCTCAGAAAATGATCCGGGTTTATTGCAACGGTGATGAACCTTCGTGTTCCATAGCACAACGGAACGTGATGTGCACAGTAAGTTTGTCCTCCACTATCTCCGAACCTCCCTTACTTTCCAAGCTTCAAAACAAAATTTGACATAATATTATCATCTACTTCTCCCATCTCATCGTACTCAGTATGAAATGTCCTCCACCATGCTCTATTACTTCAAAACATTTCCCCCCTTCACCCTTTTCTCATACATCCTAAATTAATGTTCCCTTCAGGACGAAACATCCAGTTCCCCACTCACGTTAACAACAGGTAAAATTATACGACTTTGCAGCTAAGTGTTAATCTTTATGATTTTTTAAAAGAGACGAGAAGACACGTAAAACTGACTGATGGAAAAAGAAAGAAAAACGCGTTTATGATAGCGTCAGGTTTCCTTCTCTTCTCTTTTAATCTGGATTCCTTAAACTGGTCGTGTTGAAAGGTGTAAAGACAAGATATCAATCTGGCAACACCTTTTTCTTGTGGTCAATTAGAGAAGTTCATTTGGATGCGTTATCGGCGTCATTTGTGGGGATTGCAGAACCATCCGAGTCCATAAACACAAACAAATGTGGGGCGCTGTCTCTAAGAATTAATTACTCGACGACCAGAAATTA